CTATTAATATTTACCCTATTAAAAATTCAAACTGAGAACTTTAAAGAATAATTTATTCATTAAAAATAGCAATAAGAAACCATTGCATATTAACATAAATAGCATTTTAGTGAAAACTAACTATATTTTTGAAAACAAAGCAAGTTTTGTGAGAAGACTGGCATTATTTTACATTTTTGCAAATCTCTATAATGTCAGGCTTTCTAGAAGACGGCCAGATGCTGTTACCTGCCGCTACCTGTAATTGGTTGCAGTGTTGCACATCATGTGGCCTCAGGGAAATTCCACTGTATACGTGTATGACAGTGAGAATGGAAAAGGCAGATACTGTCTTTGGATCACTATGAAAATAGTTTTGCCCTCACAGACATCCTGACAGGGTCTTGGGAAGCTCTAGGAGGTCCCTGAACCACATTTTGAGAACTGCTCTTCTAGAGTAGTGTACTTATTATGTGCTGATTATATTTACCAGTCATGGGTTGAGTTAGTATTATTGAATAGAAATTGGTTTCCAGTATAACCTTAAGCAGGCCTTTTTATTATTGGCTAAATGTCAGGAGGTAAGCAGTATGCTCTCACATTTGCCGATGAATTTCCGCAATGGAATAATCAAAACCTGGGGGGAATATGTGTGTGTGTGTGTGTGTGTGTGTGTGTGTGTGTGTGTGTGTGTGTGTGTGTTGGATGCTAATTTTCAGTTGTAGGGTGAATATACAAGTTAGTTATATATGGTGACTTGCACAAAAGCCCAAATGAAGACCAATTAAAAAGAAAAAGGCTATTTTGCTTAATCCCAATCATTAATTATGGTTTCTTTTCATGTTTTAAAAATATTATGTGTGAGCCCTTCAAATGCCTTTTTCGATGGACCCATTTAAAGTATTGTAGTTATGTGGTTATATATTTAAAAATATCTAGCACAAGGTTACCCATCCATGGGTGTACATAAAAGATATTTTCTATAGACATGTTCAGACTGAGCATTGATCACCTTGCATTTTCTTTTTAAAATCAGAGAAATGACTGAAAACACTATCAAGATCAAAGAGATAATTGTAACTAAATTTTAAAATTCTGTTGCCTGCCTCATCTGATAGGAATTATTTTGATACGAATCCAAGTTCAAGTCTTTGTATTATGCACTTGACTGAAAGTAGATCCCGCTCCAGCAGTTTTTGAAAAGGTGAAAAACTTGCTGGGAGTACTGGAAACAACTCCACCAAATCTGAACAGCTGTCTAGACAAACCAGGCAGCTGCTTCTGTCAGCTGTGAGCTACCACATGCAAATAACTTTTGAATTTGCAAGTTAACCCTTTTTACTTTATTTTAACAGTTTTATATTCGTGGCTAGTTATTTTCATTTAAGCAGCTTATAAACAATTTTAATTGTGTTATTTGTTACAAGATTTATAATGGCTAATCTTTTTATTTAATTTTTTTCAACTTTATTTTCTCATACATGAATTCATTGCCTAATGTAAAGCACTTTTGCACTGGATATCACTATTTTGCTAGATTTGAATAGATACATATAAACATACTGTTGCCTCAGATCAAGACTTTAAATATGTTGATCATAAGACCGTAAGTATGTTGGAAGGCTTTTGGTTGTACCGTACCCTTCAGAAGTTTACAAACTTCTCTATTTTTCTTTCCTCCATAAGGGTTTAAAAAAACCACTCTCATTAGATTTTCCTCCTACCTTTTTGACAGATTCTTCTTGATCTCACTTACGGTCTCTTCTTTCTTTGCTCATTGCATAAATACTGGCATTCCTATCTTAATTCTCAACTTCGCTGACTGTATACACTTTCCTAGGGCTGTCTCTTCCACACGTAGAACTTCAGGCACCAGTTCACCAATGACTCCTAAATCTATATTCAGCACAGGCTGCTCAAGAGTTCCAGAGCCTTATAATCCAAGTGCTTACTGAATGCTTTAATTTGGATAGCCCACAGACATCTCAGATTTAGCATGTTCCAGTAGAATTTGTCATCTTACTGACTTGCTTCTCCTTTTTATTCTTTGTCTTGATGAATAGCCTCACCATTCACCTCAGTGGGTGTCCTGCTAGACTTTACTTCCTCCTGTTCCTCTGCCTCTTTCCCATATTCAGATGGTGAATTCAGTTTTTAGTTGTATAATACAGTTTATATTGAAATACATGTTCAGATATGTTGGAACTCTTTTGTAATGCTGACATTGCAGGAAGGGCAAGAATCTATGTTCTGTAAGAATGATGAGTTTTATGTTTGCATTTCAAAGAACATAAATTAAACTTGAACAATATAGGCAATCGTTAAGGACAGTTATTTATTTTTATTTTATTTTATTGCAGTGTCAACATTAGCTATTTCATTGAGGGTATTCTTTCATTTGATTCCTTACTTCTAGACCAGGAACCAGCAACCATCTGGCTGTCTGGGTAAAGAAGATTGTGAGATGGGTTTCTGTTGTTTCAGATTGCATTGCATCTGTTGATAGAATGTATCCCTGTATGTCATGCTTAAATGTTGATTAGGTTCCAAGGCATTATGATAAAAATTTAGTTATGGATTTC